GGGGCCCATGGCAGTACCTACCCGTGGTCCTGGGTCTCCGCGCTCGCCTCTGGCTCCCGGCAGCCCAGCCCCCGGAGCACCCTGCCAGGTGGAAGGCAAGAGCTCATCCCTGTCTTTGCTGTTCACCACTCCTCCCAGCCACGCCATGTCCCCTGCCACGCCAGGGGACACCCCACGGTCCCCACCAACTCCCCGGGTGCCTGGCGCAGAGCAGGCTCCCATGTGCCACCATCCAGAGTGGGCTCAGCATCCCCCAGGAGGTGGCTGCAGCAGGGACACCCCACGAGAGGAGCAGCCCCACATCCCTCATGCTATAGGGCTGCCCCCCATCTTACCTTGTCACCCTTCAGGCCAGAGGCCCCTTGCATGCCCTAAAAGAAAGGAGAGGGATGAGTGAGCTACAGGAGGAAGGTGATGTCAGGTGCCCTGCAAAGCACCCCTGGGGCTCCCACAGCGGGTCCCGCCCCTGCGCTGGACCCCCCAGCAACCCCTAGCCCCAGGGGCCGGGAAGGTGCAGGGTGGGTCCCTCGTCACCCTCCCGAGCGGGGGAGCCAGGGCAGAGCCTGCACCCCCGGGAATGCTGCAGCACTGGAGACCCATACTCACAGCCGGCCCTGGGGGTCCTGCGGGTCCTGGTGGTCCGGAGGTGCCATCCCTCCCGGGAAAGCCGATCAAACCCTGCCAGAGAAACACTGGTGAGAGGGCAGGGACTGCGGCTGGGAGGCAGTGGGGCTTGCAGGGACCCCACTGACACTGCTCAAGGGTCCAGGGTCACCGGGACCAGTGAGGCCAAGTGCTGGCCGTAGCCTTTACCCTCTCTCCTGGGGGACCTGGCGGGCCAGGCTGCCCATTGTCCCCTCTCAGGCCCGGCTGTCCTGGCGTCCCAGCGATGCCTGCTAAGCCTGGGGGTCCTGGTAGTCCTGGCAAGCCGATGTCACCCTGGAGCAGGGAGCAAAAAGATGGGGCCCATGAAAACAGCCCCTCAGGAGCATGCTTCTCCCTCGGCCAGCCAAGTCAGGGCAGCGCCTGGGCACTGGGGACATGGTGAGAGCCAGGGTGCAATGGGGACAGGGGTTACCTTCAAACCCGGAGGCCCGTCCTGTCCTGGTGGTCCCCTCACACCGACACCCAGCGATCCCTGCATGGTGGCAGAAAGCGTGTGGCACGTCCCCTGACTGGCAGGCACAGGGGTG